TATGAAAAATTTATTTGCCTACAAATATGCAACGTTGTGTTTAAGTTGTTTTGTGCTATTTTCTAGCGCTTTTTTCATGCTGGTTTTTTTGCAATTATGCTAAACTTGCTTTGGTAGCACATGTACTGCTTTAAAAGGCTTGTGTAAAGTGGCAAACGGCACAAGCAACATTTTGTTGCATATTTTATTGATTTATGGCACATTTTATGTGGACCGAACCGTAAAACATGACACATGAAAATTTGTGGTTTTATTACAGGAATTGTTTTAAATAATTCGAATTCTTGTGAAGGATAGGAATTCAAATCTATGGCGTTTACCATGCTGTTATACGAGTACAATTTTGCTTGTATGACTCACGTATTTTCGCATTTATTACTGTACTGCCGGGAAAAAAGTGCTTTAAAGTGCTAAATCTACAATGCAGTAGAATATTAATAAATAATAATATTATTGTGAATTATGTGAACTTCATTACTGACACTAATGAAAATGAAATGAATTGAAATTTTATTTCAAATTGATATTTGATGAGCATTATGATGATTTTAGTAAATTAGGTTTATTTGTATACTATGTATATTGATATCAGCAATAAATTGCTTTTAAACAGTGAATAGCTGACTCCGAGTTTAACGAATATTCAATACATCCATCGAACTCTTTGAATGACAAACGATTAAGTGCTTATTAATAACAAATATATAAAAATTAAAAAAATTAATTTCCTCAATACTAAATAAATTAAATACCTTAAAAGTATATTCTTCGTTGCATTAAGACCCTTCTCTATACCTTTTCCAATATTATAAGATGAACAAAAGTCCGCATTGTAGTATAATGTAATTTTCTTATTTTGGCTGCACGATTTTCTCATTGGTAGGCACTGTCAATATAAAAGGTATTCCCTCCTTTTGTATTGGAGGGAATCTTATAATCTTATAAGATTATAATCTTATAAGCAATCTCTAATCTTATAAGCAATTCCTAACATCCATTTAGATATATGGCATATAGCTGTGGACGTGTGCTGGTGAAATCTTTATTGCAATAATATAGCGCTTTCACTACACAGTGTTAAGGCTGATAGTAAGTGCTTCATATTACATCAGAAATGATGATCTCTGTCACGATCTTTATATTTCAATCATTATAAATATAGGAAGAAAATTAACCAAAGAATATAAGCTAAGACGTTCACATCATGTTAATGTTGTAACGTCTGAAGATAAGCACTTTTATCACTTCTTTTGTCAACGGTTTCGGCATCATGAGCTTAGTTTGTCTACAAGTGCTCATCTCTTTCCATCTGTTAAGATGAAATGAAGTTATAAACTAATCGACATAAGCTGAAATATTGTAGCCCAAAGGTACTCTGACTCTGGGTCGCAGAATTTATGGCTTGATCCTTGCTTTGCTAGTGCATCGACCTTTTCGTTTTGCTCAATACTGATATGTCCTTTAACCTACATGACTGTTACCACATTTTCATGAGCAGATTCCATGACCTTCGGGACACATTTCAAAGGTTACTCTACATAATATTAGTGGGATATATATAGTAATATATGTTATGAGCTTTGTAAGTATGGTAAAGTCGATGAGATGGGTAAAGAGAGAATACAGCATTGCATTTATTCCTTTAAAGATTATTTCATCTATTAAGAATAAGTAAGCAAATTTTTATTTCAAATACATTTCTATAATTATTATTTAACTGCAATGTTTCCATTTTTATGTTTATTCACTTCATATTTATTTGAAAAATATTTTTACATTAACTCAATCGATTTCAAATATTTTTTAACTTAAATCATTGGTTACTCAAATCTATAAAATTGGTTTTCTTTATGCAGTTCTACACATAATGTTCAGCTTTTTTTGGGTTTTGCTCGCAAATCAACTAAAACAACTTAATTTTTCCGGCATTTATTGACCCAATGGAGAGAAAATCACTGCTGCTGACAGGTTGACAGATAACCAGTCAAGTAGCGTATAAATGCAAGTAATGGATATTTGGACGGAAGTCACTAAGTTAACAGCACACATGGAGAAAAAATACGTTGTCTACATTTTATTTGCCAAAATTTTGTAAATTTTACACTTTTTAAAAGCAAAATCCATCATGTCTTGTCAAGCGAACAATTTATTATTTCATGTTTGCTTTGAAGCAGAGATTGTTACCTGCTTAACAAGAGTAGATACAAAATTGAATGTGCAGTTGACCGAGAAACAAAAATATATCTCAATTGTGTGTTTTTAAATATATTTCAATCATGGATAGCAAAAATTTACCAAGATTCTTTAATATTGCAATTTTTCGTACAATGAAGCTTAAAGCACTTTATTCAAAGCCCATACTATCTGAATTAATTATATAATTTCTAAACTAATTAATTTAATAAAATAAAAATTAGTATATTACCAGTATTCATCAACTTCAACTTCACCAAAAATCTTCGGAAAAATGTAAATCAATCAATCATTGTAAGATTTTTCTACATACTACCTTACATCATATCTACAAAACTTCAATCTTAAAGATAAAATAAATACGTTCACAGGTAAAAAATTATTGTTACTGTTATATTCGGTTTATCTTTGAAGTTTAAGATAAATATTTTAAGATGTGTCAAAAATTGTAAAAGCAACCGTTCCAACCGTACCAACCCCAATGCATGAAAAATTCAGGAGCTTAAAAGAATTCACCGTTGTGGTGACATATGACTTGAGGACTAATTGCAAAGATAATGAAGTTCCAAGAACCTTATGGCTTAGATAAGAAAGAAATAAAACAAAAATCCTGTTGGACTTCATGAGATGAAATTCATTAATCACTTTTGACGTCTTTGCTCGGAACTACACACGAAAAAATATCATTGCCTTATAAAGGTTTCCTTCCTTGGCTTGGCAGAGATGACGAAAATTGACTTGTCGTATCTACTAAGCATTACCTAAATGTTTTAACAGGAACAATACTTGAAGTTAATATCAATTAGTCTAACTCGTGTACAATTAGAGATTTTGGGGTGCCAATGATACCTTCTACTATTTTATTATTATACAGAGTTGAGCTTTCTAAGCTCTCATAATAATGTAGTCACATTAATAGGAATGCGCTTGAAGACAGAGATAGCACCTCACTCCGAAAATAGTTGCGTCTTATAACTTTTTAGAGACAACCGTTTTCTCATTAGAACCCTAAATCTATCACTTTGATTCCAAAGGTATGATACCTTGGAGATCAAGTCAACTGACAGCTAAATTTAAATTATGAGTTGGAATTAAGGTCGCCTTGATTTGATTCAAATTTGAGTTCATAAGTTCCAATAATACTTATATATTATTAGAATAATCTTTATTAAATTCGTTTCTATACAAATTTTTGTTCGAACTTATATTTATGCTCATCAATAAGGTCAAATGTTATGAAATATTAATTGCAGAACTCGTTAATATTCAGAATAATTTATGGAAAACATCTAAAGGTGCATCCATTCGCGTGAAAAAAAATGTGTCTATATACCTTGACAAATGCAAAAATGTTCTGTGTGCTTTGTACACGCCTTGGGCCAACATATTACCACACCTATTAAGTACACTCAAATATTGCCAAAGCCAACATTTCTGTGGCCTTTAAGTGCAAAGTTTAAATTGAAGTGACATTCAACGCAACAGAAAGAAGTGCCTTACCGCCTTGAGCGAAACTGCAGTCGTTCGGCTTCTTTCACTTTCCTTTGACTTTTGCAATTAGAATTTTTTCTTGAAACTACGTATATTGCCTAGTAAAGGAATATTTGTAGCCGAAATTGAATGGATGCGGTTTTTAGTCCTTGTGACGTCAATTGTATGCATACTCGTATAACTAATAAAAATTAATTACAAATGGTAAAGAGTTTGTAGACAGAGCCAAGATTATATGAGCTTACGTGAAATAGTGTCGCTAAGGAGGTCTGGTATCCCCGTTATTGAGTTTTTTTTGTTTTGAAGAATGAAAAATAAAAGATTAAATTAATTTTATATTAATTCACAATTTCTCTGGCATTGGTAATAGTTCTTACAACTACTATTTAACACTACTTTAATACACTTAGTCCTAGAAATTTTAATAATCGTGTGAGTTTGAGGTGATGTTTCTAAAGAAATGGAGGTACGAAGTTAAATGAACTTTAAAGAAATAATGGTTTTAGTAGTAAAATCTTATCCTTATACTTTTGTAACCTTCTTGATTTTCTTGAAATTTGTTTTGATTATTTATGGTAGAGAATTGTTCACAAAAATTTCCTTTCATTCTTAGGCATATAAATCTCGGAGTGTTTGGTAATTTGTTCATTAACTGAAATTTAGACTGTTTTTCAAGGAAACTTTAAAAACTGACTAAGTATAGTTGTCAATCATTTAGCATATCAATGTTGCAGGTCTGCTTTATTTTATATTCAATATCTTAAAATGGCTTTCTATGTGACAGTGGAAACTTCATACGATATCATATCATATATAATCGTTATGAATGAATTATGTCCTTTTTAAGCGATGTCTACTTACTTATATTTGTCTACAAATCATTATTTCTTTTTTTTTATTTTTAATTTAGTTGATTCTTATAGGAATATTGTATGAAACTGAAGTTATTCTCAAGTCATTAAGTTGCGCCAAGGCTAATGTTCGTAAGACTAGCTGATTGACCTTTCAATTCTACATTTCTGTGTTCTATATCTCTGTGACTACGATATTGATTAAACTTTTTATTTTAAATTTCAATCTAATTTCGGTATTAATAAGTCAAGCAATAAGTCAAATTAATATAATAAATTAAATCATGCTTTAAAGTTAATCATAATTAAGATATTAATATGAGAATTTATTAATTTTAAGTTTGATTGAGTCAGTGTTTGAAAGA